GCCTGGGGTCCCAACCCTGACTCTCTGCAGGACTGGGCAAGTTACTTGGCTCAGTTAACTGCAGACATCCTGTTCTTGGTGTTGTTGGGAAGCTCATATATTACATCGCCTGGCACACAGCAGAACCAACAGCCACTGCTTCTCTTCTCCTTCTAAACTATTTATTCACCAGCAAAGATAGCTTGAGTTTCTCCTCCCAACTTCTTCCATGTCCCCAGCTATTCCAAGAAAACGCTTTTTCATAGGCACACTCAATTTTACCATTAGTAGTCCTAGTTACCTAGCTTAATTTTTCAAACAACCCCCCTATAGTCATGCAGTAACTTCTACCTTCAAACACCTTTTAAAATTCTTTCTGACATAAAAAAGAATTAAAAATCAGGAGAGACATGCAGAAGAAACCTCTTGTCATGAGGTCTCCTTTCTACAGAAAGGGATTATATGACAAGTTATCTCTTTTATGCTCTGAGGGAGGAAAATGAAGCCTACCACCCAAAGCAGTGGTTCCCTAGCCTTGGAGAAACTCCTCCGAAAACTTCTGAAAGCTCTAAAGCCTTTGCCCTGAAAAATGTCAATCTGCACAAAGACATAAAATACCATCTAGAACTTCAAGAGGGTCAAGGGCCCTCTGAAACCCACCCACCAACAGCAAGGTAAGAGCCCTGGACAAAGAACCACCTATGACACTCCTGAAACAGGCAAAATCCTCAATTCATATTTTGTTTCTTTAAAGTGCAATAAATTCAAAAAACCTGGACAAAAACCTCAAGAAGGTAAAGAAAGAAGTTTTCTCATTCACCTCTTCACCTCTCTCTGTGGCTCAAAAACAAAATGCTACAAAACTAACAAGGCTCAAAACCTGAAGAGGCGGTTCACTCTGAGAAGCAAGATCTCAAAACAAGGATGTGCTCAGAGCCAGTGCATGTATTGGGGATGAGCAAGGGAAAAGGAGGTACAAAATTAAGAATTAAACTCTTTACATTTTATTTTTCAATATCATCTTTTAGAACTTCCTTTGTTCATGTATGTTCTTAAGAAGCATTACATATTTGTGTAATAGCACAAGTATGCAATGTATAAATAGATATATAGGGTGTCCCCAAAAAATGTATACACACTTTAACAGCTGATAGCTCAATTTTGAAAATGAAATGCATTTTAATAAACATTGCCTTTATAATTATTCAGTGTGTGTACATTTTTGGGGACACTTTGTATATGTTATTTTTACGGATAGGAGTAACCAATTACAAAAAATGTTTGGAGACCCTGTCCTAGTAGACAACTGCCAATTAAGTTATTTAACAAAAATGTTATCTAGTAATTCTCCACAAACGGAATTTACCTTGAAAATAAATTACATTTGCCATCTTAAGTTCTTATTCCTGAAATCAGAAGTCAGTGTGAAACTGACGTTGACTAAACAGTAATGCTAAGATTGCTCCAAAAGAACTAGTTCTCCTTTTTGCTTTAAAAGTCTAATTCTCACAGCTATACATACATGCTCCATATTTTTCTTCCTTAAATGAAAATAATCCATGTATTTTAAAAAAAATAGAAATCAACTGAAAAACACTGATAAGCATTTTCTATTACACAGTTCTTCCTATACTTATAATAATTAATATTCAACTCCTATGATGATGTACCCAGTACTGAGCTAAATGTTTTACCTACTTGAAGGCACTGACTCTCTGAGGTAAATTCTAATACTCTCCTAGGGGTTAGGAGGGAGAAGGGGGGTCCTAATATAAAGTGACAGGAGAAGATTGGACTTTGGGTGGTGGCCACATGGTGCAATATACAGATCTTGTAACATAAAAACCCATATCTGAAACCTGTATGTTCATGTTGACCAATGTTACCCCAATAAATTTAATAAATAAATATATTTTTAAAATAATACTACTACTCTCCTAATTTTGGAGATTTTCAAAAAAAGCATTGTTTAGAGGTCACAGAGCTATGAGTGGACCCAAAATTGAAACCTACCTATGTGTGACCCCAGGAGGGCCTCTATTCTTACCTCAGGAAGGCCACCTGCTTCCCTTAGATAATATATATGTTACATATATTAAGTATACATTATTATATATTAGGTAACACATAATAACTGTTGTTCAATCAATATGTTCCTATGCTTAATTCTACTGTAACCTAATAATAAGATCCCTACTTATTTTCATAAAATCTTCAAATACAAAGGGTAGAAAAATATTTTTAAATAGTAAAAGAGGATGTCATCACTGGTAAAGAAACCAGAGCTATGTTAGTCAGCCTTTTTGAAATAATCTAGAAACTTTACTGTTGTTTTTCAAGCACTACAAAATCTAATTAATATTAAAAGCTAACATTATAAAAGATTTGACAAAAGAAAATTTGATCATAAAACCCTGCTCTAAAAGTCCATTATAAACTTCAGGTATGCTATTCTCTCAAACTGTATTTTTTAAAAGTCTGGTGATCTGATCAACTCATGATTCAGTGCCCAAACAACAGCACAAAAATTGGGTTTCACTGCACTTAACATCTTAACTTCTGTAAAATGGAAATGATGAATCCCCTTAAGTAAAAGGAATCGCTCTTAATATGTCATATATGAAATCCACTCTACCCTCTTACACAAGATACCACTGAATTTTCAACTTGAAACATGCAGAATTTCCAGAACAAAAAACCATTCTCAGGAGTTTAAGTGAATACTTAGCAAATTGATCCCTCTATAAATAAGAACTCTTCATTAAAGAAGATTATAATTTTGTATAAACTACAAGTTAAAATTTTCATGGCCTGGATTTGGGGGAAAAGTTTTTTTAATATTTAGGGAAGAAAAATAAATATCTATCCTACTATTACAAATAACCTAGATGTCAACTAACAATGTTCATTCATTTACTAACAAACACTTATTGAATGCCAACTATAGGCACTAGTGTAGGAACTAGAGATAAGAGAAACAAGGTTCCTAAAGAAGATTATATTCTAACTGGAGGCCCAATGCATGAAATTCATGCATGGGTAGGGTCCCTGCCTGGCCAGGGCAATCAGGGCCAATTGGGGCCTTTTGGCTGCCAGCCGGGGCCTTCCTTCATTTAATGCCACCCCCTCATGGTCAGCACATGTCATAGCAAGCAATCGAACTCCTGGTGTCCCCATCCAACTCCAGCAGGGACAATTTGCATATTAGTCTTTTATATATAGAG